ATAAACATAGAAAGGAAAAGATGAGTCTCACATGCAGTACGGTTGCGTACTGTTTCTGGAAAGAGCTCTGTGTGCGTATGTGACTGTGAGTGTGTGTGACATGTGTACAGGGCTGCTATAAAAACACGCTTCTTCCAGTGGGCTGTCACCTCAAATTCTTCAAGTCATCAGCTGGCCCTGCCTGAGCAGCACCCACAGTGCTTCGTTGCACCCTCCTCCTCCCTTCCAGAAACACAGGTAAGGGAACGGTCCCGCCCACACGCAGCCTCAGCTAAGGTGCTGGTCGACTTACTGATGTCAGAGCGGACGTCGAAGAGCTGGAGCGACCCCCGCTCCTTTCCACACACTTGCATCTATGTACCGTGTGTGTGTGTGTGTGCACGTGCACACAGACTCAACTAAACCAGCCTCTCTTCTCCAGCTAAAACATCACACTCCCCCTAAACAACAAAGAGCTGGCCTGTCCCCAAAGAAAACGTGCCTCGGGGCTCCTGGCTTGGAGGTGCATGGCGTTAACTTTCCAGCGTGCTACTGGACGCCTTCCCACTTCCATTTGGTTTTAATTCCATGGTCTAAACTGGCTGCCTCATGCTGGGATCGACCCAGTGGAGGTTCCTGAAGGATGACGTCAGGGCGTCCTCAGCCTCTCCTTTTTCGGGATGAGAGTGGGGCAGAGGGGTGGCCTCACCTGGCCACAGGCCAAACAGGGCTGTTGTGTGCATGTATGTGTGTGCGTGTGTGTGTGTGCGCGTATATGTGTGAGAAAGGGAGCTGGGGACACTACCAGGGTGTGGAGTCTGGACTCAGCAGCCATCTGCACCCCGTGGCCTCTGGAGAGGACCAGGCTAAGAAGGGTGGGGAACGACTGTTTCCTCGGGGCGCGCGGCCGGACCCTGTCGCTTTTGACCACTCTGCTCCTGGTGGTTACTGGCCCCCAGGATGCCTTTCTAACTGCCAGAGTGGGCTGGGGCGGACATGTCCAGGACAGGCCGAGTCGGGGCTGACGGGGGGGGCAGCTGCTGCCTCCCTGGAGTCAGGAAGGCCGGGGAGAGGGCTGGCCCTGCTTAGAATGTACCCTGGTTCTGTAAGTGCTGGTGCAAATTTCACGTCACGTTACAGGGAGCGAGACAACTACTCATTCGTGGCCACATTACAGCTGGCCTGGGCCTGGCTGGTCTCCAATCGAAACTAGCTACCTAGGAAGGCCATGCCAACTTTTCTAGGTCATTTGGGTTTTCTGGTGGCCAAAGCAAGAGCGAAGGGTCTCCACCAAGCAGGCAGTTCATGGGATGTGGGGGTGGTGGACGGGATGGCGGATGTGGCATGTGGAAGCCGTTAGGCTCAGTGAGATAGTGTCATTCTGTCTGGATTTGTGGCAACTTCAGGCTGGAGGCCGAGTTCCAGCACGTCACGTTTCTGGCACTTTGAGGATGACGTCGCCAAACATCAGCGTCCTCATCTGTGAGAAAGCAAAGGGCAGCCCCCCGCTGAGGCTGGCCAGCTCCGCTGCAGGGTACGGCTCTCGAGGCAGGGAGAACCTGGCCTAGTCCTCGCTCTCCTCTGAGCAGGGAGTTGAGGCTCCCGAGTAGTGAGTCTCAGAGTGGCGTGTTCGGATGCAGAAGCACTCGGACACACTGCAGAGGTGAGGGCACAGCTGGAGTGTGGGGGCCTTGACTGGAAACAGCCTCGCAGGATCTCATGGGGAGCTACGGACGCTCCCCGTGCCTCCCAGATGACTGTTAAAGAGGACATCTCGGGTGTTCACTTGAGCCTCTGAGACGGGGCCACACGCTGCACCTCTGTCCTTGCATCTGTGCCCCCGGCGCCCGCTCTGGGAGGTGCCGTAGTCACATGCTCTCAGACCTGGGGCGCTGATGGCTAAGTATGGGGCTGCCGGCCGGGACTGCCCCTTCCCACCCTCCCTCACACCGCCAGGGCCTGCGGGAGCTCCTGTTTCTGAGAAGTCATTGTGTTCCCTCAGGCTGCGTGAGGGGACAGGGGCTTGTGGGGGAACCTTCCTGGTGTCTGGGTGGGGGATTTGGAGGGAGGGGAGAGAAGAGGGAGGGAGGAGGACTGCAGGCCCGTTGAACGGTGCCTCCTGCACCCAGCCCTCCCTCTCCTGGGAGGTCTGACTGGGGGCTTACCTGCCTCGATGCGGCCTTCCCTCCAAGGCTGTACTTTGTCCTTATGTCATATGAAAGAAGCAGGGTCAGTCTGCATCCTCCCGGTGGGTTCCCGGCATCTGGACCTCAGGTTTTCGGAGCAAGAAAGGCCAGGAATTTCCCTCCTCTCCCACTTCTCTCAAGGGTAGGGAGCCCACACACATGCTGAGTGGTATCTCAGCATCCCGAGGCCTCTGGCTCAGTGAGGTCCTGGCTGGCACAGTGCCAGCTGTCTTGGGGACACTGTGAAGTTCACATGGGCAATTTGCAGCCAAGGCTCCTGGCCAAGGGGTCCCCCCTCCAACTCAAGGCCAGCATCAGGAAGTGGCTCCACTCTGGCCTCCTGCAGCTCATCCCTGCTACCTCTTCACTGACTGCAGGGACCCCGTATCCCTGGACTCACTGGCTAGGATGGGCCCCACATTCGAAACAGCTCCTGTCCAATGAACGCCGGCTTCGTGCCAGGCGCTCCTGCACGCGTCGCTAACCCCGACGGCCAATCTGCCGGGGCCCGTTGGACTCTTGGTGCCGTGTGACAGTGGAAGTGTCTGCAGGTACACTGACTCGCTCTGGGTGTGGCTGGCTGAGACCTGCCCCCACTGCCCTGCCCTGCACACAGGCCTGACTGCTCTATCCTTCCTGGTCGTGTTGAAGGAAGACTTGGTGAAGGGGCCCAGATGGGAGCTGAGCTTCGCAAGAATCGTTTTGGGGACAAAGCCCTGAGCTCGGGGTGCAGGCCCTGCCTTCTGCACCTGTGCTGAGCTCCGGCATCGTGTGGTCCACACTGGTCATTTATACTCTGACCCTGGGCGGAGCGGGGTCTGGCGCCCGCTCCTGGGCACTGTGCAGGCTGCGTGAAGACAGATGTGGGAAGGTACGGGTAAACCTGCCCTAAAGATGCTGGAGCCCCTGTAAATAAGAGCCGTGGTACCCCCAGACGTGCTCCCATGTCCGTGCTGGCCCTGTGACTCCCTGCAGTCCCTGAGAGCCCTGCAGATTTCCTCATTTGTGTCGCATGGTTGATTCTCTCTCCGAGCGCAGCGGCCTGCACTTTTCTCTACCAGATGTCTCTTCTCTTTAGTTTGCTACAGCTCACATGTGCTTGCTGGAGGGAGATGGAGAGAGGGGGAAAGTGAGAAATCCCCCCAGGGGATGGCCACACAGGACGCCCTTCTCCTTCACTCTCTTCTTGGGATTTTGAACATGCACACGCATGTGCCTGGTGTGTTTTTCAAGCCATAGAGTCTAGGCCTCAAATCGCTCAGTCAGCTTTCACCGTCACGCCATCTGCCTGGCTTTCTAATTTCCTCTTTAGTGGTTCCTGAAGATGAGTTTTGATGAATCTGCCGCATCCTGGTCTCTGTCCTCCTAATATTTTTCACCTTTAAGCCTACGGAAACTACCAGCTAGTGTCGCCCGAGACGACAGTATCACCAGTGGCGCTGCCCTGCACACCTGCTACCCAGCACAACTGTCTTTGCCCAGCAAAGCTGATAAGGTTCTTGGAAGGGCGTTCAAAGGTGACGACTCAAATGGCCGTGGACCTTCCGGGCAGACCCGAGAAGCCCCGCACGTAAGCCCGGGCCCTGCCGTCTGCTCACGTGCGAACCGCGCTTGTTCTGAAGTGCCTTTGAGAAAGCACTGGTTCTTCGTGCCCCAATATTTTCTACGTTTCCTTATAATCTGGGTCGGACGGATCTCTGCCATTCTAGAATCTGCGCTGCGTGGCTGGGCTGTGGGTGTCGCCCTGTCCCGCCGCGTGGGCCCTCCCCATACCTGCCAGCTCTGCTGTACCGAGTCAGCTCTCAGCCCTCAGCCCTCCCACACGCCCTCAGGGCATAATGCCCTCTTGTGCCCGACAGAGTCCTGCTCAGAGTTGGAATGTCAGGGACTTTAGAGTTCAAACCCCAGCCGAGAAGACCTCAAGAAGCCGACAGGCACCCCCGTGTTTACACACCCTGGCTCCAGTGTTTTGTATTGGTTACATCTGTCACCGTGGGAACCGTGGCGGCCCACCTGTCCCATCCGGCAGGGACTGTGGCTGACACTCCGCACACAGAGCAGGGCACTAGGCTGCGAGCAGGGGCTGGGAGGCCTGCACGCCTGTGCCCTCCTGGGCACGACAAGGATAAACCGTCCCTGAACCTCTGATGTTTTTCTATGTTTAAAGGATTAAAAAAAGGTCCAGATCCCTGGCCATTCCTACCGACTCTTGTCTAAGCTGATTAAAAACCCTTTGTCCCCAACCAACCCTCAGTCCTGGGGCTCCAGAGGCTGCAGGCGGCCTCCTCCCAATGGTGGGCTCTTCCTGGCCTGCCGAAAAGACACGAGAGGTACATGCCTCCTCAGCAGAACGACTGGAAGGATGGAGGCACTGTCATCGCGCACGACTGTGTCCTGGGGAGCACGCTGTCGCTGGAGGGTGTTCGATCCGCCAGGCCAGGGTCAAGGGTGGGGTCTAGATACCACTAGGGCCCCCCACCAGAAACACAGCAGTGGCAGTGGTGGCGAGAGCAGTCCTCCGAGGAGAGAGGGGAGGGTCGTGCGGGGGAGAGGGAGCTGACACGCAATGGGCCCCCTCAGCTCGGCATGGGGGAGTCTGCTCAGCCTGGGCCCTTCTCTCTTCCTCCCAGGAAGGCGTTCACCGTGAGGAGTGCCCTGTGGGGCAGCCACTAAAGGCCCACGTTTCACCCCAGACTCGGCGCGCTCCAGCTTGACACCCCGCGACAGGCCGAGCCTCCTGATACGCAGAATCCCTGCTCCTGCCCGTCGCTGGAGGCCCCACTCCTCCCCTCCCTCTGCCTTTCTTCTGCTGCCACCCAGCAATCTCCTTGGTCTCTGGGGTTGCCACCAGCATCCTTGTGAGAACAGATGTTCTGGTCTCGACTTTGGCGCATGCTAAACAGCCGGACGGTGAGTTAATGCGCGGGCTAGTAAGAGGCCCGCTGGGCGAAGGAGGGGTAACGCTGTCTCTGGTGTGTCTACTCGTTTGCTGTCGCACGGCTCCAAGGGCACGTTCTCTCTTCCAGCTGCAGGCTGCGTTTTCCTTGGTGTGTGCCATTTGTGGGATTGTCTACTCTGAGAGGAGATTTTAAACCTTCAAATCCAATTACCTCCTAATTGGATTTGCAGGCCCCTCCTCAATTAGTAAATGAGCTGTCATTTTGTCCATGGGGCGAGTTCTCCGCTCTTTGTTCGTGTGGTCCTTAACTTTTCTTTTCTTTTCCTGGTGGCCTGCCGTGGCCGACTCTGCAGTCAGGCTGCAGCTGGTCCTCTGGGCACGAGAAGTCCCTCTCTGGTCCGAGGACATCGTTGTGTGCTTTCTGGTGGGGACACCTGTGGGGGTAGCCCGCCCCTGGAATGTGCCCAGTGTGCAGACCGTCAGCAGCAGGGCCAGCGGGCACTGCCGGGGCCTGAGGGGCAGAGTGTAGGGCAGAGAAGAGCGGAGAGCAGCTTTCGCAGACAGCCGCTTACGTGGCGCTGAGGCTGCCCCAGTCCCACTCTGACTCTGTGTGTCCAGACGGCTGGTCCTCACGGGTGCCTTCCGCTACTTCTATTAAGACACTCTAGTGGGATTCACTGACTGCCACGCAGGGCCCCAGCTAGCTGAGGGTTTATCACGGCACGGCCAGCGTGACTCTTACGAGGGATTTACCCCATATGATGGGAACCTTGGCACCTGGGCCCCAGGCCCTGAGGATGGGCCTCCCTATGAAAACATCCACGTGTTTCCATAAACCTCCTGTACGCCCATTTCTGACCAGGAGCCTGAGGTTAAGAGAGTTAGTGGATGGGGCCAGTAGGTGGTGTGGTGGTTACGGCACTGGACTCCCACTTGGCCAGTTATGGTTTGAGTTCACTGTCTCTCTCCTGTGAGCACATGTGCCCTATGGCGAGAGAGAGAGAGAGGAGAGAGAGAGAGAGGAGAGAGAGAAGAGAGAGAGAGAGAGGAGAGAGGAGAGAGGATAAGTGGCTTGCCCAAGAATGAGGGCTTGGTGGGGCATTTTCTATTTATTCCAGATCAACCTGGAATAAACGCTCTTAGCGTGGGGCCCGGAACCAGGCGAAGGGGACGGGATGCCCGTGGTTGGTGTTGGAGGACCGAGCACACTCGTTTTCTCGCACACCCACACTCCCATCCACACACACCTCTCCTCGTCCTGAGCACCTTTCTGTTTCATCAGATGCCCAAGGCCTCCTCAGAGTAGCCTCGCAATGCCAGGCTCACCGAATCCACCCCAGATGGGACACAAGGGTTAGAACTCCGACTTGGTCCACAGTGCAGGACGCTGCTGGTGACAGTCGGGCCTTCCCCCTTTAACCCAGTAGAACAGCCGACGGAGGCTGGCTGACTGTGGCTCCTGTCGGCAGGTCTTGACATTCATCGTGGCCTGCGAGGAGCACGGAGTGGCGCCTAGTGGAAGCTCCACAGGCCCGTGGGTATGCACGGATGGTGGGCAGGCGCGGGCTGTCCCGACGGGCCGCACAGTCCTTCTAACGCTTACCTTACAAGGTCACAGGGACGGAGGGCAGAGAGGCCCAGAAGCAATGTTGACCGAGTGCCGTGGGTGGTATCAGCACTGCGAGAACCGCCCACCGTGTTGAGCAACGAGGAGCACAGAGTCGTGAGTTCGGAGGAGCCATCGGGGAAGTCTGCAGCTGATTTTCAATACCGCTATGAGCGGAGTATGCTGCGAGTGCTTGCCCTGCCACACCTCCGCTGGCCAGGACCTTCTGGTGAAACGGTGTTCTCCTGCACAGCTGTGGAAGAGACAGCCAGCTCTGTGACCTCCTCTCCCACAGCGGTGGCTGCCGGGTGTTGCTCCCAGTCCCTTCAGCTCTGTGGACTTCTGGATGATGGTCCTGGCCTCCTGAGGCTGCTCCTGTCAGGGCAGGCTCTGTGCAGGGACCAAGGCAGACCTGGCGCATTCAAAGCCTTGGCCTGGCCTTGGCGTGCATCACCCACACTTGCGTTCCATCACGTTCTCTGGGCCGAGCCCCATGCCCAAGCCCAGCATCATGGGGCTGGGATGTGTGTGTGCACGCGCAGGCGTGTGCAGCTGTGCTGGGCCCGAATGCAGTCAGCCGTAGCAAACTGCGAGGAAACCCACTGACCTCAGCGTGGCCATTGTATTTCTGAAATGACAGGGGCGATTTGCAGTGACTCTACCAGGAGCCTCCTGTGTATCATGGTGTGTATATGTGTGCACGTAGGTGTGTGTTCGTGTGTGTATGTGCACACGCAAGCTGTGTAGAGCCTGGGGAAGCTCTTCCTCCTTGTCTACTCAGAATCAACCCAATCTAAGGCAGGAAACGAGAGACAAAACAATCCAGCTTTTACATCCCTTTAGATCAACATTTGTCCTTCTGTCCGGGTCCCTTGCTCCTGTCCCAGGCCTGTCTCTATGTGGATCTCCTCTCAGCAGAAACGCAGTCCTCCTAACAACACAGCAGCACCCCTGCCTGCATCCTGAGAAACCACGTCTCTCCTGCTCTGCTTGTATGGGGACTCCTGCCATCTCCTCGCAGCCCCCCGCACTGTAGTCGCCTGATTTGCTCTGCCATGAACTTGGCTCAGCCATTCCCTGTGGCCCTAGTCCTAGAGAAAGTGCGAGGCCATTGCATTAGTGCATCCATCTGTTACAGTGTTACTAAACAGGAATACCGAGACTGTGACTTCAAAAGAATAGAGGTTTATTTAGCTCACGATTCTGGTGGCTGGAAAGCCTTAAGGTGGGGACTGGCATCAGGCCAGTCAGGTGCCACATCACAACGTGGTCAACAGAAGCAGAGAGAGAAACAGGTGCATGCAGGGAGAGATAGATGATGGGAGAGAGAGAGCGAGAAAGAGAGAGAGAGAGAGAAAGAGAGAAAGCTTTCCCCACGGGGAACGGTAACTGCACTCCTTCCTCCTCTCTCTCTCTGGACTCCCACTTGGCCAGTTATGGTTTGAGTTCACTGTCTCTCTCCTGTGAGCACATGTGCCCTATGGCGAGAGAGAGAGAGAGGAGAGAGAGAGAGAGGAGAGAGAGAAGAGAGAGAGAGAGAGGAGAGAGGAGAGAGGATAAGTGGCTTGCCCAAGAATGAGGGCTTGGTGGGGCATTTTCTATTTATTCCAGATCAACCTGGAATAAACGCTCTTAGCGTGGGGCCCGGAACCAGGCGAAGGGGACGGGATGCCCGTGGTTGGTGTTGGAGGACCGAGCACACTCGTTTTCTCGCACACCCACACTCCCATCCACACACACCTCTCCTCGTCCTGAGCACCTTTCTGTTTCATCAGATGCCCAAGGCCTCCTCAGAGTAGCCTCGCAATGCCAGGCTCACCGAATCCACCCCAGATGGGACACAAGGGTTAGAACTCCGACTTGGTCCACAGTGCAGGACGCTGCTGGTGACAGTCGGGCCTTCCCCCTTTAACCCAGTAGAACAGCCGACGGAGGCTGGCTGACTGTGGCTCCTGTCGGCAGGTCTTGACATTCATCGTGGCCTGCGAGGAGCACGGAGTGGCGCCTAGTGGAAGCTCCACAGGCCCGTGGGTATGCACGGATGGTGGGCAGGCGCGGGCTGTCCCGACGGGCCGCACAGTCCTTCTAACGCTTACCTTACAAGGTCACAGGGACGGAGGGCAGAGAGGCCCAGAAGCAATGTTGACCGAGTGCCGTGGGTGGTATCAGCACTGCGAGAACCGCCCACCGTGTTGAGCAACGAGGAGCACAGAGTCGTGAGTTCGGAGGAGCCATCGGGGAAGTCTGCAGCTGATTTTCAATACCGCTATGAGCGGAGTATGCTGCGAGTGCTTGCCCTGCCACACCTCCGCTGGCCAGGACCTTCTGGTGAAACGGTGTTCTCCTGCACAGCTGTGGAAGAGACAGCCAGCTCTGTGACCTCCTCTCCCACAGCGGTGGCTGCCGGGTGTTGCTCCCAGTCCCTTCAGCTCTGTGGACTTCTGGATGATGGTCCTGGCCTCCTGAGGCTGCTCCTGTCAGGGCAGGCTCTGTGCAGGGACCAAGGCAGACCTGGCGCATTCAAAGCCTTGGCCTGGCCTTGGCGTGCATCACCCACACTTGCGTTCCATCACGTTCTCTGGGCCGAGCCCCATGCCCAAGCCCAGCATCATGGGGCTGGGATGTGTGTGTGCACGCGCAGGCGTGTGCAGCTGTGCTGGGCCCGAATGCAGTCAGCCGTAGCAAACTGCGAGGAAACCCACTGACCTCAGCGTGGCCATTGTATTTCTGAAATGACAGGGGCGATTTGCAGTGACTCTACCAGGAGCCTCCTGTGTATCATGGTGTGTATATGTGTGCACGTAGGTGTGTGTTCGTGTGTGTATGTGCACACGCAAGCTGTGTAGAGCCTGGGGAAGCTCTTCCTCCTTGTCTACTCAGAATCAACCCAATCTAAGGCAGGAAACGAGAGACAAAACAATCCAGCTTTTACATCCCTTTAGATCAACATTTGTCCTTCTGTCCGGGTCCCTTGCTCCTGTCCCAGGCCTGTCTCTATGTGGATCTCCTCTCAGCAGAAACGCAGTCCTCCTAACAACACAGCAGCACCCCTGCCTGCATCCTGAGAAACCACGTCTCTCCTGCTCTGCTTGTATGGGGACTCCTGCCATCTCCTCGCAGCCCCCCGCACTGTAGTCGCCTGATTTGCTCTGCCATGAACTTGGCTCAGCCATTCCCTGTGGCCCTAGTCCTAGAGAAAGTGCGAGGCCATTGCATTAGTGCATCCATCTGTTACAGTGTTACTAAACAGGAATACCGAGACTGTGACTTCAAAAGAATAGAGGTTTATTTAGCTCACGATTCTGGTGGCTGGAAAGCCTTAAGGTGGGGACTGGCATCAGGCCAGTCAGGTGCCACATCACAACGTGGTCAACAGAAGCAGAGAGAGAAACAGGTGCATGCAGG